AAAACTGTTTTAGTAGAAAACACATAAAAAATGAGAGTTCAGGTTAACAGTTCAGGTTCCCAGCAGGGTTCAGAGACGCAGAAACAGATCAGCCATCTCCAGCCCAGTAACATCACCATCCCTCAGGGTATGTAGAAGTTACTCTCTCAGTAACTGACTGTTTTATTCACAATGCAACATAACACCTTGCGTCAGAACAAATATGATCCAATGTCGGACGAGAAGTTGAAATGGGACTTAGTCTATACCAAGGTACAAGGACTCACATGAACACCACCTTCACACTAACTGGAGCTCTGCAAGAGCAGCTAAATTCACAAAGATTTTCCCAGGAATTTTCTATCCCTCATTTGCAGAGAGTGGAGGATACATTTTAATGATTTTATGTTTGGTTTTCTACTTGCTGCTTGCTGCACTGCACCATGCCTTACTTGCTGCCTGTTACTTGAGCACACAAGAGAAAATTGTTCACATCCTCGTGGGTTTTCTGTACTTCTCATCAGTGGATCATCCAAAAGCCACATAAGTATTCCTGCAGCTAAATCACATGCTGTGAGGATAGGGAGGGGGAGAGAGAAATAATAAAAATAAAATAAAAAAGTTTTACAAATTTTGGGGTATCCAAACTGCTCAGAAAACTGGTTTCTCAGGAGCCTTTACACTGTTCATGTAAGACCCGGCTCTCATTAATATCTGTTTCAACTGGGAATATGCAACATCTGCAAAGAAACCAATGCTTGGCCAAAACCACAAAAGTAATAATCCTGAAAGAGTTTAGTTCGGGTAACTGAAGAAACTGAACCCAGTTCATCAGGAGGGCATTCAAATACATGAGACCTCTATCATGGGACCATTTTGCCTTGCCCTGAAGTCCCACACTCACTTCCCATCACCTAGGAAGACAAACCTGAGAGATAACATTCTTCCAGGATCTGGCACTAGAGCAGAGCCGCCCAGCATGGCAGGAGATCTGTAGAAATAAATAAAGAAAAAATATGAGTACAAAGCCTGCCTCAACACCCAGCAGTACTTTATCATGCCACCAAGGATTTTATCACTGTACTGCACATTTCCCCAAACCAGAGTCACTCTCTCACATTTCTTATCATACCTGCAGCCACACAGACAGTATGTGTACAGGCACATGCTCCATATTCTAGAAGAGATGGAGGTGGCCCCTGGAAAGACAGAGACAGGAACCCTTTGCCAGAACTCAGAGCTGAACCAGGAGCACTGAGCTTCAGCCACTGAAGTAAACAACATCTTGATAGGTAATGCCGTTAATGTTCATTAAGCTTTCGAATGTAAGTCTGCCCCTTCTTACCTGCAACCCCAAATGTCCTGCCCTCCCCTGAAACAACTGTCTTCTTCACCATAATTCCATTCCCATTTCATAATCACTGGTCCTTCTGGATCTCTTTACCCAGTCTCCAAAATCTCTCCTGCTTAATTCTCACTATATTTATCTCCACCCATTCCTTATCAGCCTTGTTAGCAGCTCATTAGCTCCCAACACCTCCCTGACTCCCCTGCCCCAACCACAGCCCCTTTTACCTTGTTCTGGTCCCTGTCCACCCACCCACTCCTCGCTTTCCCTCTGCACACTGCCTTCCTTGGGCATTTCCACTGAGGGCAGCTTGAGTATCATCTGGCCTGGAGGAGGTGTCTGGACAAGGAAATTGGTCATGTGGTGAAACAATGACAAAGAGTTAGGGCCAAAGCCCTGTCTGAAATCGGAAGGCACCAGAACTGGGAATGGAGCACAACCAAACTCAGTGACAGGTTATGGTACTTGCCCCCATCGCCACTTTTAGTAGTTTTCCTCCCTGGCACCCTGCCCATGCCCCAGCAGCACCAGCAAGGACTGCGCAGGAGCAGCAAGGAAAAGGCAAAACCGGGTATGGAAGAAACTAATGACACTGTGCAGAGCTGTTCATCCTGCAGCCAGTGAAACCCTGCCCAAGTGCCGTGCTTTACAGCCTCATGCAAGCTATTTGTTATCCCAGGCCAAAACCAAAATGAGCTGTTGGTTTCTGTCCATTCCTTGGATGCCACGTTTAAAGCGAACAAAGGAGCAATGCTGCCACCAGCCCTCGCCAGAGAGGGACCTGCGGGGGCAGCAGGACTGGCTGCTTGTCCTGGGGCAACCTGAGGCTGGACTGGTGTACGGGGTAGGGGCTGCGGGGCCCCGGGATGCTCCGTCTCTGGGGATGAGGAGCGTTCCTGGCACGTCAGTCTGGCACCTCCAGCGAGGCCGAGAGCGAGGAGGGGGGCAGCGGGGTGAGCAGGCTTTGCTCCACGGCACTTTCGAGACAAAGCGATTTTACTAAAAAAGGAACTTGGAGCACTTCAGTCCGTCGAGGCCGTGCCAGCTCTGTCTGCATCCCGCCGCGGTCCCCCCTGAACGAGAAGGAGGAGGCAGCGGGAGGAAAATGGGAACAGGCGCCCTGCTATGCCATAGCGGCTCGGCAGCCCCCGAGGGCTCAGGGCCGGCCGCAAGCGACCCCGGGGCTCTCGGGCAGCCCCAGCAGGGTCGGGAGAAGCAAATGCGACGCTGAGCTGGGGTTTGGTGGCGGCGACTGCGGGGAATCGCTCCCCCCCCTCTGCTTTGTTCCCCCTCCCGCTGCCCACTGACGCTCATATATTCTTTGGGGCATGAACCGACTCCTGCTGTGTGTCTTCGTCCCACCCGCGCCCTGGGACCTCAGCCTTGACAGGGACCCCCCTCCCCGTGGGTACTGCCGTGGGTAACAGCACTCTCCATAATAAAGTTCTGGCTACATTGATAATATCAACATATTATAGCGTTTCCCTTTATAGCTGTGCTGCACACGGAGTTTCCAGATCGATGTAAAGCATGCTTGCTTTTTCTTTCCATCCCTCTGTGCAACTTGACAAGTTCCGTGGTTCTTTTCCTAATATGCGGGTTTATTTTATGTCGCTGAGCACTGGCGAGGACAGAGAGACTTTTAAGTCACAGTAATCTGAATTCCAGAAATAACAAGCTGCTAAGATCTGTCATTAAATGTGGAGCTCGCGAGAGCGGCAAAAACAAGTACTCTGTGTTCCTTAAAAGATGGTTTGGATAACAGTGACATAACCTAAGTACCCGGTCGTGGTCCAATTTAATCAGTAAATATGCCTCTGGAGCAGAACCATCTAACTTAGGATAAGAAACAGAAGTACAGTCACCACCAGTAGGAGAAATTAATGCATTCCACTTAGACAAAGATTAATTATTATGAATCACTCCGAAAATACATTTGCCCCAAGTGGGAGTACGCGATTTTCTCTTCATCAAGTTTCTTTTAAATAATTATTAAACATCTCAAGGCTGAAGACAATTTAGTTTGCACTAATAAGCACTACAAAATGAAGACCACCTTTTTTAATCTCTGGAGCATTTTTATCAAAAGGAGTTGCTCCAAAGTGGGACAGGCAGAACATCTTCTAGAAGAAATGTGTATAGGTGCAGAGGACTCTGCATAAGAACAGGATAAGTTTTCATGTTAGAGTTTTTCTGTCGGTGTTGATTTTTCCATATAATTTTTATCCTAAGTTCACCGAATTAAATTTATATTTGCTACTAATTTTGTCCTGTTAAGGGCCTCAACTGTAACCTCAATGGCATCTCAAAGGGTCATAAATCAGATTTAAAGCCAAAAGTCACCTCAGTTGCATATCTTGGAGAAAAATAAACATGGTTTCAGGAAGGGCATGGGTAACTGTTTTAATAAGGTCTCCCTTTGCATAGGGGTTCTCCTTTTAAAAATACCTCAGAAAGATGACAATTTTCTGAGCTTTGGTGGGACGAGTATGTCTGAAACAGACTGGGTTATTAACAGCTGGGTTGGCTCTGCTTGATCACTTGCATTTGACTTTCCATTTCTCTCTGGGCAGTCCCTAGTAGACACGTTCGTGTGATGATGCTCCAGTAGAGCACTGCTCTGGGTAAGGCAATGTGCAAGAACAAGAACACAGTCAGAATAAAATTATTTTGTCATTTACAAGGGAAAAGAAAAAGTGCAAAATTAAAGGGCTGCGGGAAGCAACTATGTTACCAACTGGAGAATATTATTTTTTTATTAAATTCATGTATAAGGAAAGTTTCTTCTGTGAAACATTCCCCAAACCATCACTTCATATTCATGGCTCAGCATTCCTGGTGGGATAGGAATGAGAAACTTGCTTCCATTTACTTTGCAGGGCCAGGGTGAGGCGCAAAGCAGGCAATTATCAGCTGTAATTTAATTACCAGCACCCCAGATGTTGTTGAAGTTGACTTCACAGACACCTTTATCTGGGAGACTAAGAGATGGCCTTCTAGGTACAACATTTTTAGCAGTCTTCCTTTTCTCCAGTTTTAGAGACTCTTACAGTTTAAGGCTCGGTTCTCACCCAGCCCAGGCAGTGCTGATAGGCAGCGCTTCCATTGACACTTTTTCCATTACAAAATAATGTTCTACCCAAACATACTTTGTTTGACACCAATAAATCAGGGCAGCTCTTTTAATCATACCCAAGACTGAACTAGGCCAATTTTAAAGCTTATAAAATTTGGTGACTTTTCAAAGAAAACTTTTTTTTTTTTTTTTTTGAAGTGGCACAGTCCAGCACTCCCTGTTCCTGGCAGCAGCTCAGAAGTGTTCTGAGAAATGCATCTTTTTGTGGCAGTTCTGACCCAAACGAAATCAAGAAACCTTGGAAATCTCACAGGAGATGGATTTTTGTAAGCTTTCCAATTTAAACAGGTGGAGATAAACCAAGATAACTGTCTGAGACAGATCTGCAACATGTGGAAGGTTCATCTATAACTAGATATGTCTGCCTTTATTTTTATGGCCTTACCCTTTTCTAGAAATATGCCTACAGGCATTTGATTAACACTGGCGTAGTTATGTAAATGAATGAATGGGATGATAGATGTAGTAGAGAGAAGCCTTCATTCTTAACTCTGACAAACTCCCTTTCCAAAGGAGAGATTGTTTTAATTGGCCAGCCAGTGACTCAGGATGGGTTTGGAATGACAGAGCATCTTCAAAAGACCAACAATTCTGAGACTTCTCCCAGGCAGCAATGATAAAAAATGAACATAATGTAGTGTTGTTTCTATCACTTAGATATTTCGTATATGTTGCTTCAAATCAGGTCTTAAGTTCTTCTACCCTATCCACATGGCAAGAAGAGAAATAGACAACATCATTATCTTCAGAACAGCTTGCTCACATCACACCACAGTTTATTTTATGATTCAAATACTCTCTGTATTTCTTTTCCTCCATTCCTTCATTACCATCTCACCGTTAGCAAGTGTTGCTAAGTAACATTCTGCAGGCCCCTGTAATTTCACTGCACAACTGTACTACAACCACGCGTTAATACTTCACAAAGGCAGTAACTATCAGCAATAACCACTATATTGCTTTAAAGGAAACCACGGTACTTTCTCATTATGGCTGTGTATGCTTCCAAATTACACCAGTCATCAGGGTAATTCATTGTTGCTGGAGGCTGCGATGAATAAATTCCCACGCTGGATTTACAGAAATCCTGATGCTTTTCCCACGTAATGGATGTGTGCAACGAGTTTAGCTGAGACTCATTTTGTTTAGAATCATAGAATATGCTGAGTTGGAAGGGAGCCATCATGATCATTGAGTTCAACTCCTGCCCAAATACAGGACACGCCAGGAATCCCACCATAGGCCTGAGATTGTTGTCCAGACACTTCTTGAACTCAGACAGACTTGGTGCTGCGACCCCTTCCCTGGGGAGCCTGTTAACGGTGCTCAACCACCTTCTGGGTGGAAAACTTTTTCCTGATATCCAAGATGTCACCACACAGAGTGGCCAGGAAGAGGATGTTGGGAGGCTTGGTCCTTCGGTGCCTAAGTCATGGGTTAGACCCTTGGGTGTAGATGAAAAAGTTGTTGGAAAGGGCAAGAAGTGCTGAAGAAGGTCACCTTCAGAAACTAGATATCCTGAAAGGTTCAACATCGATAGGAACATGACAAGATATATCAAGAAATCTTTTACCTTAACTTCTGCCTGAAATGATTCACTGGTTTTACGCAGCAAGGGCAGAATGAAAATCCACATCTCAAACAAGAGGTGATGGCGATGCTGAAGTGGGATAAAGCAGGACACTTAAGAGCTGGGTCCCAACACACACAGAGTTCAGAGGAAGTTTTCTGCCTGCATAAAATTTGAGAAGTCAGACATATAATTACCATGAAAAAAGAATCATTTTTCATCCTTTTCATTCTGTGGTAAAAGAAATTAAAGGAAAAACAAATACCTTTAATAATTTCAAAATGTTGCACTTTGTCATCAATCTCAATTTGCCATAATGAACCTTACAGGAAGTTCAAAAGTTGCAGTGGGACGAAAATGGGATTGAGGGATGTTGGGCATTTGAGAAATGTGGCTCCAATTGCACCAGATAATGTCTGTGTCAGCCTTATAATATTTATTATGTCTGTTCTAAAGTGGAGGTTGTATGCATGTGTAAGCATGTGTATATTTATACATAAACATTTATGTAGAGAGAGTACCCATGTCTAAATGAATGTTCGTACACATAAATGTGTCTGATGTCAAAGGGAAGAGTCCTTTAACAGCTATATAAAGGTTTAATTTCTTATCTAGTGTTTTCCCTGTTTTGCTTGGTTGAGTGCCTAGTATTTATATGTTTCATTATCTAAGATATCCTCTCTCCCAGGGAACACACTTGTTTGCCATGTTCAATAAAGTAATGAAACATAGAATAAATCTTTCTAGTGCCATAACTACATGATACTAAACCCATGTTTTGTCTTATCCTCACCATGTACTTCGGTTCCTTTAAATGTATCTTTGTAGTGAAACTTGCCATAGATTAGTTATGATGATATTACAGCTGAATTTAATTTCAAAGTCTCTCAGCAGTTAAGGGTTTCTTGCCTTGGTCACTGCTGAGGAAATTTGAAAACTCTGATATGATTTATGAATATGGCTATATTAGTAGTGTAAAAAGGCTATGGGGAATATGAGAAAACAAACCTTTGCCTAATTCCATTCCAGTAAAAATTTCATTTCTTATAGCAAAATAAACAAGTAAATCAGTGTTGAATGATTCTGTTGCTTTATTACCTAACTTATAATTTGGCTTTAAACATCCAAGGCAAGTAAAATCTCAGACCCTGCTCACTTTTGTTGAAAGATAATTAGTTAACAATTAGAATATTCTTCAGAGGTTGCTTCCTTGAATGATATTCATAATGTGATGCAAGAGAAGAAAATCCAGGAATAAAAGGCCTGGCTTCTTTCCCCCAAATACAAGTACATTAGCCCTATTATTAGCAAATTTTTCAATGTAAACCTCTTTTCTCCTGAAATTTATTCAACTGTTTAAGGGATAATCAGTTTCCTAAAATTTCTCCAACATCAGTGTTCACTTTCAGAGATGCTGTTACCTCAAGACGTGTTGCTGTACAAGTTGCATGAACATACAACTTCTGTTCCTCATCACGTAGCCTATCCTCATAGCTGAGGAGCAGTCCCATAAGTATAAATCCCTTTCAGCTCACAGAATGGGAAATGCCCAATAGTGAGGAGACAAGGTTAAAAGAGTCAAAACTTTGGCCATTTTTTCCAAATCACAAGCTCATTACAACTTATATTAATCACCTGCTTGAAGATTCAGCTCTCCTTTAAGAAACTGAAGTCCAGGGGACTTGCACATCTAGGAACATGGCACTCTTTTGCAGGATCTGGCTGTTGCTGTCTAAAGCACCATGTCCTGCTGGCTTTTACAACACCATGCAGTGAAAATGTCTCTTAGACTGGTGAATGAGTAACCTAAGACAGCATAATTTCTAATTTATTGTAGGTGCATATACATTAGGTTCTCAGAATTATTGCAGACATTCCCCAGTCAGTGGAAGGCAGTAATCCCCAAGCTTATCTAGGTTTTCTCTTGGACATACTGCTTGACCTTAGGTGGGTCACTTAATCTTTCTTTCTCCCTTTGTTTTGTTGTCCATAAAAATATGATAATATTGGCTCACATCACCTGCTGAATAAGCCAATATTCAACAGAAATAGCTGATGTGAGATTAATATTTTCAAAGTACTCTTTTGCTGAGAAATGCTGTCAGTCCAAAGTGTGCACTACTATAATTATGGTATACAATGGAGATCAGGCACCTCGGTGGATATTCTTGTGCCAGCCTCTATATCTGCTACCTGACTTCACATGTACGTGTCCAATGGAAAAGAGATTTGAAAATTAAAGTGTCCTTGAAACTAGATAAGAAACTTTCAGCCAATGAGGAATGTCTATCAACACCTGTCTAGGGCTATTACTGTTTTTTTCCAGCTGGTTCTGTCTGGTTTTGTTGCTTCATGTACCCAAATCCACCATTCTGGCTGGTAAAGGAGGAAGAGACAGCTTTGAGAAAAGGATTGTGGTAGGTCAGGGTGCAGCAGGGTTTGAAAAGACCCTTCAGGGTTTTGGGTCACGATGTCTGCCAAAGCCACACACCTGATGATGGTGGAGCAAGAGGTGACAACAATCCTGCCATCCTCACACAGCTATCATCCCATGCCCAACAAGAGGACCTAACAATCTGTGCTGCAGCCCACTTGCCAATTAATTGAAATACAAGACTATTGCATTTGGTTGGCAATTCCCAGAGAAAGAGTGACTAGCCCATCTTTTTTCCATCCTCAGAGAAAATATTACTTTGATTTTCAGAGGTGAGCATTACTTACCTCATGTCAAAACCTGGTACAAATCTTAATGCAGCGTCTTCTGCCACAGAGTAGGAGGTGTAAGTAGCTTTTCAGTATGCCTGAGAGAGCACAACAGTTTTTTTTCTTTTAAACTAGAAAGTCATCACAAAGGGCTGAAATTTTAGAATGAATGAGATTGCACTAATACTAAACAACTTCTGCCTTGAATCTTCTCCTTCTCTCTTCTGTGTCTCTTTAGCTCTTTCTTCCACCTGGAAAATGCCCTGAACATTTTGGGCGCTATCAGGAGCAAGAAACAGCCTGGTGCCATTCAGTCATAGACGGCCCAAGGAATTTCTGAAAAATAAGTCATTTTGTTCTCACTGTTCAGCACAAAGTGGAACAGTAGGTGAAGTGGGCTTCCCCCCCACCCCCAAGTTCACATTTCCCCAGGGAATTCCTCCAGATTTCTCAGCATCCACCCGAGCAATGTTGTGGTGCAGCTGCACTGTGTTGTACAAACTGAACACGTGTCCCCACTGCCTTCCAGGTTTGCACACCTTTGAGGGGAGGACAGCATTACACAGCTGCTTTGGCTAAAGCGTGGGTTGATTTGCTTGCATGCTGTTTTATTAAGTCAAAGAAAAACCATGAGCTGTTAGCTTCCTGTAAAATGAAGAAAAAAAATACCCTAAAGAAAAGAACAGCCTGAAGATAAAAAGGTCCTAAGGTTCTAGAAAATGTCAACTCCAAGAAATGTGGTGGGTGTAAAACCCACAAATTAAGCTTTACATTCATATAGAGTGTCTACATTTGTTCTGAACAATGCTGAATGGTGAGAGCCGGGAGCCCCGTGAGCGCTGCCTCCCACTGAGGACATGCTTCCCATTCCTAGGCTGGGCAGCAGCCACTCCTTCCCACGGATGCCCCTTCCCACGGACATCCATGCAAAGTCACTGTCTGTTCTCTGCAGCAATGGGGGGGAGTTTTGCTTCCTCTTTGCAAAGCCCCTTCCAGCAGGATGGAAATGGGCTTTTCTCCAGCAGCTGGGGGTACATCCTTAGGCAGTGTGTGAACAGATACCAGGCCATGACACTGGATACAGTGCTGCAGAAATTGCTGGGGAGCTGTAGAAGTCACTGCCTCACTCCAGATCCAGTCAAGGACTGGGGCTGGTTGATTAGTCTTATCCTAGACTACACAGAATTCACCCAGCACAAGGAGAGAGGTAATAATTAATCCTTGATATTCTACAATAAGTTAGCAGAGGACAGAAAATGTCAGCTATGTTGCTCATATTTGCATAATACCATTGATTAAAAACCCACTGAAATTTGACTCAATTTCCAGATTAAAAAAGAAACTAAATTAGAGATTTTTCAACCAACCCTTCTCCGAAATTTGAATGACATAGATTTCTTTTTCTTTTTTTTTTTTTTTGAGCAAAAATCTTTTAGCAAACTTAAGGAACAGAATACCAAATCTATTTAGCATGAACATCCTCAGCTCTATGAAGTCTCTGTAGCAGATGAAGGTATAATGCAGAGACTATAATGCACAGAGTGCTTTAGGGAGAGAAAATGCTTTTGAATGGATTTTAATTCTTTTAAAACACTTGAAATGTGTTTTAATGTGTACAGTCAAAGCATTAGAAACTATTTTAAATGAAAAGTTTTATAAATATTGGTTTATTCAATTGGTATAAGACCTCACTCATTCAGTGAGGGGAAATGAAAATTACTATATAAAACTACATTTTATATATCTTATCCTATTTTGGAAGTTAATCAGAATGCTATTACATCTTGAAGAGATTACAACTATACATTAGGACTTAAAATCTTCAGTTCTTCCAGAAGACATTATACAACTCACCTGTACCATGGTATTTGTGGAAACTAAATGCTTGCCCACTTTCACAACTTTCTCAGAGAGGCTGCATGGCAAGCGCACATAAATCTTTCAACCAAGATTCAAGCAGTGAGAAGGAGCTACTGAATTGCTGGCAACGTGAGCTAATGTTGAACTAATATGAACTTCATGCAAATTTTTGCTTTGTCCAGGACTGCTGGTTGGGGCGAACTTGTAGTAACAGGCTTGTTGGAGACCTGTCAGGGGAGTCTCTCTGGCAGGCTGTGAGCTGCAGCTGGAGCTGCCTTTCCTTCAGTTTGCTCTGAATTTAGGACATGCTTGCGCAGCTCAGCTATAAACTTTCAGCTGGAGAGGAGACAGAGAGGAACCCAACAGCCCTGAAGCAAATGAATGTCAGAATAATCCCAGTGCAAAGTCAGACTTTCGGTGAAACTGCAGAAGTGAAAAGTTTATTGAGGCTCAGGCTGGGTCTAAGGCCATCTCGTCTGGGCTGAGGAAGCTGTGGACTCAAGAGAGATGAAAGCATGCAGTTTACTTGTTTTAATGACTGTCTGGGCTGCCTGCCTGTAGCCAGAAAGGCATCTCCACGTCTAGATGAGAAGACCCAC